ATTGATAGCCCAGAAATAAATGCACATACATGTGGTCAGTTAATTTATGCCAAAGAAGCCAGTCTCTTTAATAAATGGTGTTGGGAGAACTAGTTATTCACATATTAAAAAATGAAACTGAATCCTTGTCTCACACCATACACAAAAAATCAACTCAAAATGGACTTAAAACTTGAACAGAAGATCAGAAAACATAAAACTTCTAGAAGAAGACATAGGCAGTAAGCTTCTTGACATTAGTCTTGTCAATGATCTTTTGAATCTGATACCAAAAACAGGCATCAAAGGTAAAAATACACAAGTGAGACTACATCAGACTGAAAAGCTCCTGCACAGCAATGGAAGTCATCAACAAAAATGAAAAGACAACCTACTGAATGGGTGAAAATGTTTGCGTACCACATATTTGATAAGGGGTTAATATCTAAAAAGTGCAGTCATACCTTGGTACTGCTCATCAGCTTTAGAACTCATCAAACCCTGTACTCGTTGCATTTTGATGAGAAAAGAATGTTTCAGCACTCAACACTTGCATGGGACTTGTTACACTTGCTAGAACTTACATAAGTCCCCATGTTGCCCTGCAAGAGAAAATGCTTCACCATTTGTTGCTTGCTGGGGGCTCAGTTTTGAAACTCGTCACTAGTTCTGGAATGAACTAATGACAAATATTGAGGTACCACTGTATAAAGAATTCATACAACTCAGCAAGAAAACCAAATGACCCAATTAAAAAAGTGGGCAAAATTCTTAAATACACACACACACGCTGCAAGAGGTACATGAAGAGATGCTCAACATCACTAACTATCAGGAAAATGCAAATCAAAATCACAACAAGATACCATTTCACATCTGTTAGAATGGCTCTAGGACAAAAAAATCAAAGGACAAAAAAAACTTACAAGCCTGGGTGAGGATATAGAGGAAAGGGAATCCCTCACTGTTGGCGGGAATGTAAATTGATATAGCTGCTATGGAAAAAAGTGTGGAGGTTCTTCAGAAAATTAAAAATAGAACTACCATATGATTTAGTATTATATTTCTGGATATTTGTCTTAAAGAGAAAGTGCTAAGTCAAAGAGATATGTGCCACCCCATGTTCATTGCAACATTATTTACAATAGACAAGATATGGTAACAACTGAAGTGTTTATCAGTGGATGAATGAATAAAGAATATGTGGAGTATATGCATACAATGAAATATTATTAGCCATAAAAAGGAATGAAATCCTGCCATTTGTGACAACATGCATTGGACCTTGAGGGCATTATGCTAAGTGAAATAAGTCAGACGATAAGAACAAATACAGTATGTTTTCACTTATATGTAGAATCTGAAATTCAACAAAATGCTGTTTTGATTACTGTGGCCTTATAGTATAGTTTGATATTAGGTGGCATGATTCCTCCAACTTTGGTCTTTTTTCTTGGGATCGCTGTTACTCTGTGGAGCCTTTGGGGTTCCATATAAATTTTTGAGATATTCTAGTTCTGCGAAATACATTATTGGAGTCTTGATAGGAATTGCATTTGATCTATAGATTGCTTTGGGTAGTATGGATATTTTAATGATGTCGATTCTTCCTATCCATAAACATAGCATGTGCTTTCTATTATTTGTGTCTTCTTCAATTTCTTTCTTCAGTGTCCTTTAATTTTCCAAATATAGGTCTTTTACATAATTGATTAGGTGTATACCTAGGTATGTTACTCTTTTTGAAGCAGTTGTGAATGGGATTGTTTTCTTAATTTCCCTCTCTGTCAGTTCATTATTGGCATATAAAAATGCAACTGATTTCTGGATGTTAATTTTATATCTTGCTACTTTGCTGAATTCATTTTTCTAATGGTTTCTCGTTGGACTCTTTGCAGTTGTCTATGTACAATATTACATCATCTGTGAATAATGACAGTTTTACTACTTCCATTTCAATATGGATGCCTTTTATTTCTTCTTGTTGGATTGCTGTGGCTAGGGCATCTAGTACTGTGCTGAATAAGATAGGCGAAAGCGAATATCACTGTCTTTTTTCCAATCTTAAGGGGAACAGTTGTAGTTTTTGCCCATTGAGTATGATGCTGGCAGTGGGTTTATCATATATGGTCTTTATTATGTTTAGGTATGTTCCCTCTATTCACATTTTGCTGAGAGTTTTGATCATAAATCGATGCTGGATTTTACCAGTGGCCTTTTCTGCATGTAATGATACGATAATGTGGTTTTTATCCTTCATTTTGTTTATGTGGTGAATCACATTTAATTGACTTATGAATGTTGTACCAGCCTTGCATTCCCAGAATAAATCCCACTTGATCATGGTGTATGACCTTTTCGATGCATTGCTGTATTCAGTGTGCTAATATTTTATTCAGGATTTCAGCATGTATGGTCATCAGAGACATTGCCCTATAATTTTCTTTATAGTGTCTTTATCTGGTTTTGGAATTAGAATAATACTGGCCTTGTAAAATGAGTTTGGAAATCTTCTCTCCTCTTGAATTTTATAAAATAGTTTGAGAAGGAGAGGTGTTAGTTCTTCTTAGATTGTTTGGTAAAATTCACCTGTGAAGCCATCTGGTCCAGAGCTTTTGTTTGTTGGAAGTTTTTGATTACTGCTTCAGTTTCACTATGTGTAATCTGTCTATTAAGATTCTCTGATTCTTCCTGATTTAGTTTTGGAAGACTTTATGTTTCTAGGAATTTATCAATTTTGTCCAGGTTGTCCAGTTTGTTGGCATATAGTTGTTCGTAATATTTTCTTTCTTCTTTCCATAATATTTTCTTAACAATCCTTTGTATTTTTTTTGGTGTCAGTTATTTCTCCTCTTTCACTTCTGATTTTATTTATTTGGATCCTTTCTTTTTTTCTTGATGAATTTGTTTAAAGGTTTGTCAGTCTTGTTTTAACTTTTCAGAGCGCTAGCCCTTGGATTCACTGATCTTTTGTATCATTTTTTTAGGCTCTGTTTCATTTAGCTCTGTTCTGACATATTATTTCTTTCCTTCTCCTCACTTTACTCTTTGTTTGTTGTTCTTTTTTAAATTCCTTTAATTGTGAGGTTAGATTGTTTATTTGAGCTTTTTCTTGTTTTTTTTTTAGATAGGCCTATAATGGTATGAATTTCCGTCTTAGATTGCTTTCCCAGGGTCCCACAGATACTGGCACAAAACAGACACATAGATCAATGGAACAGAATAGAGAGCTCAGAAACAAACCCACACCTTTATAGTCAATTAACATTCGGCAGAGGAAGTAAGCACATACAATGGGCTAAAGATAGTTTATTCAATAAATAGTGTTGGGAAAATTGGACAGCTACATGCAGAAAAATTAAACTAGACTATCTTCTTAAACTACACACAAGTTTAAATTAAAAAATAGATCAAAGATTTAAATCTTGGACCTGAAACCAATAAAAATCCTAGAAGAAAACGTAGGCAACAAAATCTTGAATACCGTTCATAGCATTTTTTGTTGGCTATATCTCCCCAGGCAAGGGAAAGAAAAGAAAAAATAAACAAATGGGACTACATCAAACTAAAAAGTTTTTGCACACTAAAGGAAATCAACAATAAAATAAAAAGACAACTGATAGAATGGGGGAACATATTCGCCGATATGTCTGATAATAGGTCAATATCCATAAAAACTCAACACCAAAAAAACAAATGACCCAATTTAAAAATGAGCAAAGAACTTGAATAGACACTTGAATAGACACTGTTCCGAGTAGGACATATAGATGGCCAACAGACATATGAAAAGATGCTCAGTGTCACTAAGCATCAAGAGAAATGCAAATTAAAACAACAATAAGATACCATCCCACACTTGTTAGAATGGTAATCATCAATAAATCAACAAACAACAAGTGCTGGTGAGGATGTGGAGAAAGGGGAACCCCTTTGCACTGTCGGTGGGAATGCAGACTGATGTAGCCACTGTGGAAAACAGTATGGAGATACCTCAAAAAATTAAAAATAGACCTGCCTTTTGACCCAGTGATCCCACTTGTGGGGCTATATCCAAAGGAACCCTAAACACTAATTTGAAAGAACTTAAGCACCCCTATGTTCATTGCAGCATTATTTATAACTGCCAAGATATATGAGCAGGTCATGTCCATCAATAGATGAGTGGATAAAACAGCTATGGGACATTTACACAATGGAATTCTATTTGGCCATAAAAAAGAAGAAAATTTTACCCTTTGTGACAGTATGGATGGACCTAGAGAACATTACGCTAAGTGAAATAAGCCAGTCAGAGAAAGACAAATACCATATGATTTCACTCGTATGTGGAATCAAATGAACCAACTGAACTAACAAGGAGAATGGGGACAGACTCATAGATGGAGAGCAGGATGACAGCCAGTGATGGGGAGGTTAGGGGGTGGAGGGGTTGAGCAAAAAGGAAAATGGACTCATGGACGTGGACAACAGTATGGTGCTTGCTGGGGGCTGGGGGGTGTAAGAGTACTAAATGGTAATGGAAAAAAAGTACAATGAAGATTAAATAGAATTTTTAAAAAACCCTGCAAGTTCATAGATACAGAGAAGAGAGATTGGTGGTTGCCAGGGGCAGGGCGTGGTGGTGGGGCAGATGGGTGAAGGGGGTCAAAAAGTACAAACTTCCAGTTATAAATTAAGTCATTGGGCTATAACATACAGCATGGTGACTGTAGTTAATAATACTATATTGCATATTTGAAAGTTGCTAAGAGAGATCTTCAAAATTCTCATAAGAAAAAAATTTTTGTGACTGCGATAATGGGTATTAACTACAGTAATTGTGGTCATTTTGCAGTATATACATATATGGAATCATATGTTGTTCACCTGAAACTAACATCATGTTATGTGTCAATTATACCTCAATAAAAAAACCACATTTTGAAATTTTCTCCCTTTTTTAATACCCTTCCCTCTCAGTTTTGAGAAAGGAAACACTTGTATTTAAATTCAAATTGACTTTGTTGTTTTTTTTACAGATAATCTCGATGACTACAGAGACTGCTACTGTGCCTTTTGCTCCTTTCGAGGACACATTGAGATGGATATTATTCGGCTGGCAGCAGCAGTTCTCATCATATGAAAAGAAAAGTGAACTAAAATCATCTTCCAGAGGTACCGGTTCATCGACCTCAAAATCTATAGCTGGTACTTCAGATAAAGTTAAAAAGAAACATACTAAGAAGACTGAGTAAATTTACTTCATGAGTTTTAGAAGGCAAAAAATTTTTTATCTACCTGTTAGATTGTGATAAATATTTCTGTTGTAAATGATGTGAAATAAAGATTATATGTAAGGAATAGAGGTGACAAAAAAAACCTTTCTGTTTCAGGGAGACTCTCCCTTTCTGGATTGTAATTCTTGAGTGTTATGAGCGTATCATGTGAAATTGTTTTTCTAAGTTATACAAAAATATTTTATTGTGGTTATTTTACAGTTTTATATCAATAGAAGCAGGCTACATGTTTTTAAATCCAGAGAAAATAAACCTACTATCATTGCAAAATTACAAAAATTAAAGCCCTTTTGTTTTATTTAGATATTTTTAAATCTATATTTAAAAATATAGACTGAGCTTCAGTTCAGTAACATTAAACTTTTAATTCATATTATCCTATAATTTCTAGATATGGAAAACAATTCCTGTTTAATTTTAAACACTGGGAAGAGTTAACTTACCTAAATTACTTTATATTACAAATGAAAATAAATTACTAGTTTATATTTCAGATATAAAAAATTGTATATTTTATTCACATTAAATGGAAATATCTGAAGTTTTATTAATTTTTAGTAGTTTTTTTTCAGTGAGGACATAGTATTAGTCTGAATCTCGAAGTCTATTTTATGTCCTTGTTTATACTGTTTCTTTATGAAAAGAAAGTCAGGGGTGTAATTTTTAATACATTACTGATCCTGTGTTTTTCTTTGTTTTATTTGAGGAGCTTATGCTTTTTTCTCTCTCCATAGAAATTTATTTTTAACTGTAGGAGAAATTATTCTCAGCAGTTTACATACTCTTCTTTCTGACCTTTGGTTTGAATCCATTGATGGCAGTATCACCTTAATGATTCAACAAATAGTATTGTTTCCATTTAAAAATTTTTCCTGTATGTCTCTTTTCTAATGGGAACTTTTTAGTTTTTTAGTTGAAATGTCTCTGACTAGTTTTCATATATTTGTTATATTTTAATCTACATGTACATGTATATATTGTTAATTTTACCTTAAATTAAAAATAATACCCTTATGTGAAAATGATTAGCTCTAGTGATAGTAGTCCTTGGGCCTTTGGCAGTAACCGGCTACAGTCTCTATGGCGGTCCATCTGAATGAAGAATGATGACATTAACTCTGTTCCTTTTAGATTTCTCACTTTATTTTATAGTTTAAAAGTTCAATTAGAACTTTAAAACTCTGTGACTGACATTTCTTCTATCCAGACTATAAATCTGCTGACCTGCAGAGTTAGTGTGTATCAGATATTTTTGGATGGCTAACAAGTCTTCAAGTCACAATAAAATTAGAAGGGTTCTTTTTGTTTGTTTTTGTTAGTTTAAAAACATTTTTTAACACATGCAGACACCAGCAGGGACTATACTTTTACTTGCTAAAAAATTTTTTTTTGTAGTGGGTAGAACCTTTGACAGCTTTCGGATGTATGAAGTTTATTTTCAGTATTGTGATAAGACATTAAATATTTAAATTTCTTCATTATATTTGATACTCTTATAGTTAAGAACTGTTCAAAATTAACATGTTACTAGTTGTTGACTTAATTTTGAAATTTGGGTTTGACTACAGTTGAAATCTTGTATTAAATACAAATTTATTAAAATAAGTTATTTAGCACCAATGGAGTATTTTCGTGATTTAAAAAAATATATTTTTTTGAGTTAGGATTCAGAACTCATCTGGCGTTTTGATTGATAGAGCATATACTGAATGATTACCGTCCAAATGGGACATTGCTACAAACTTTTAAGGTCTATGCAAGCTTCCTAAAACCTTTAATTCATGTGTTGGAGAACATGGCTCAGGCCTGAAACCTTCCACCCTGAATAGACCCATGCTGCCTAGAGACTTGCCTAGATTTGCAAAGCAAACTGTTAGACTCCGTGCCCAATGCGTAGCTCAAATGAGGCCTGTTGACTAGCTTAACACGGCCAATTATTGGGAGCCCTGAGAAAGTCAAGATCTGGTAGATCTCCTTACATAAAAAACAAGAAGCTGACAAGAACATGGGCTGGCTTAACTCAGTGATCTCACACTCTAATAAAATGTGGCCAAATTAGTATCAAATTATGATGTATTAGATTAGTTACTCTTTTTTGCTGAGGGTGAAGGCTGGAGGGGAGCCAGATGTTTGGAATGGGTGTATTTCAGTGGAAATTCCAGCTTCCCTATAGGCGGAGGCCAAAAAGTAAAGAATGAGAGAAGAGGAGAGACATTTTCTCTTTAGTGTATTTTTTTTGTTTATTTCTTTAAGGCCTAACACCATTTCAAATCTACTTCAAATCATAAATTGATTAGTACTGAGTGATATGTTGGAAATGAAATAATGTGTTGAAGAAAGCCCTCTTCCCCCACTGCTTCCTTGGAGTTTATATTCCACCGGTGGAGAGACATGTAATAAACAAATATGTTCTTAGGGTAATACTAAAGGGCATGAATAAATATGAAGCAGTATACAAGGATAGAAAGTAATGGAGTTGGGGATGTTAAATAGGATTGCTGGAGAAGGCCTTTCTGTTAAAAATGGATATAATGAGACTTGAAGGGAGCAGCCAGGCAGACTTGTAAGTTTAAGGGTCATTATGTTTTTTCATAGAGTCGGCTTATATATTTTTTTCCTAAAACTACTGAATTTCATTTTATTTTTGTTTTTAAAGATTTTATTTATTTTTAGAGAGAGGGGAAGGGAAGGAGAAACATCAATGTGGGGTTGCCTCTTGTGCGCCCTGTAGTGGGGGACCTGGCCTGCAACTCAGGCATGTGCTCTGCCTAGGAATTGAACCAGTGACTCTGGTTTGCAGGCCAGCACTCAATCCACAGAGCCACACTAGCCAGGGCATAAATTTATTTTTCTTGTTAAGTACAATTTCACTCATAGTTTTTAATTTTTTTTAGGCTGCTCACTCTTGTTTAACAGACATATCTTTTATAGAATTTATTTTTGTTTTTATAATTTTTTTCTCTTCAGATAAAATTTGCATACAGTGAAATCTGTAAATTGTAAGTGTTCATTTAAAGAGTTTTACACGTGCATACAACTATATCCTCTAAACTCCTATAAGATACAGAGCATTACTGTAAGAACTTTTCCAGTTACCCTTTTTCCCCAAGTGAAATTAAATAAAATCATGCAATATGTTCTCTTTTGCATAATGTTTTTGAAATTTATTTATCTTGTTGCACTTATCAGTAGCCTGTTCATTTTTAATTGCTTGGTAGCAGTCTACTCTGTGAATACTCCAGTTTGTGTAGCCTATTGATTCACTGCAGGGCGCTTTCTCGTTTGGGATGTTCTGAATAAGCTACTGAAGATATGTTTTTATTTCTTTTGGGCAAATACCTAGATGCACAATTATGTTTAGTTTCATTAAAGAAAACCACTAGGTTTTCCCCGCCCCCAAATAGTTGTGCCATGTTATACTCTAGTTCCAGCTGCTCTACATCCTAACAAAGGGTTAGTATTGTCGAACGTTTTAATTTCGTCCATTTTCAATGCATGGCTGTGATGTTTATGGTTTTAATTTGCACTTTCCTGATGTTTAATGATATAGAGCACTTTTTGTGTGTGCTTATTGGCCATTTGTTTATCTTCCTCTGTAAAGTGTCTCTTCATATCTTTTGCCCATATTTCACTGGATTCGTCTTTTCATAATTAAATTGTAGGAATTCTTTATAATAGCTTGGATATTGATTCTTTGTCAAACAGGTTTTTAAAAATTATTTTATTTTATTTTTTATTTATAGTTTATTGTTATTATATTTTTTCATTACCATTTATTCCCTTTACACCCTCTTCCATCTTGACTTTCCCCCCACACACAGTCACCAGACTGTTGTCTGTGTCCATGAGTCCTGTTTTGCTCGGTGCCTCCACCCCAGCCCCTCCCCTCTCCCCCACCCCCAGAGCGGTCCACCTGCTCTCTATCTTGAATCTGTCTCTGTTTTGCTTGTGTCAAACAGGTATGTTGCACTTACTTTCTTTCTGGTCTGTGGCTTACCTATTTATTTTTATGATGATGTCTTTTATGAGCATAAGTTTTTAATTTTGTAGAAATCTAATTTCCCAATATCTTATTTATAGTTATTGTTTTCTGGTGCCTTGAGAAATTTTTGCCTACCTCCAAGTCATGACGCTGCTTGCCCATCTGAGGAATCTAAAAGAAAGGAGCACCTAGCTTTTATTTTAGCTTTTCTTCTGAGAAACACTTATGAAACACTGTATTGTTATGTAAATTAGTAAGTCTGTTGCTCAGCAAGTCACTGAGATCTAATTTTTTTTAAAGATTTTATTTATCTTTAGAGGGGAAGGGAAGGAGAGAGGGAGAGAAATATCAATGTATGGTTGCCTCTCATGTGTCCCCTGCTGGGAACTGGCCTGCAACCCAGGCATGTGCCCTGACTGGGAATCGAACCGTAATCGTCTGATTTGCAGGCCGGTGCTCAATCCACTGAGCTACACCAGCCAGGGCTGAGATCTAATTTTTGACTCCACTTTTTAAAAATCATTGTACACCTTTTATAGCAATGATTTATTTCTGAGCTTGTGCTTCATATTATCCATTAAAGGAGTTCAGGATTTTCTGTAGGTGTCTACTTGAGGACTTTTTGTAGTCAGCCTTGACCTCGGTTTATTGCAACTCTGCTATTTAAAAAGAGGTGGTGAATAGAATGTGGTAATAAAAGTATTTTTAAAATGAAATAAATTCTCCAAGCCCTGCGTAGGTATGGGGCTGGTTGGGAAGGTGGGGGTCCATATTGAAATACATAATCCATTAGTGCATCTTGGTGTTGACAGTGTGGCCCAATGGTCTGATGGGAAAACCAGTAGACCTTAAAGTAATTTGCATGGCAGATTGTCTGGTAATTCGCAACAGTACAAAGTTATGTGGCACACAGAATGGAAGGCGAGAACTATTACTTTCTTTTGTACTTTTAAAAGGAGAATTAAGATTTAATTGGGAGCAAGAAAAATTAAGCAATTTATATGTTGGGAATTATCATCAGCAGACAGTGGCTTAGTAGAGGGGAGAGGAAGGAAGGGATTTATGACAAATTTATTTTTACCTCGATAGAGCTGTAGTATTTTAAAGAGAATCAATTTGATAGTGAGTATATATTTTTTATAAATGTTTGTGTCATCATGCACTTTGACTTAAAAAATTCAGCCCAGTCTCAACTAAAATAGACTGTAGACTGAAACCTTTCCTGAGAATAATATAAAATCAAAGAATCTACTACAGTGGCTGATAAGCAGCATTGTTATGTTGACATCTTAATGAGCTGTGGGAGGAAATACACAACATCTTGATTAAATTTTCAAAGGACGTGAGGTGTTAGGAAAGCCTGTGATGACAGGAAAAATTAATAATATGCTTGGAAAAATGATTCGGCTTAAAAAATGTATGTATACATCTGGGAAGAATTATATAAGGCTCAGGCCTAAGGAAACGTAGATGCTTTTTGTAATAAACTTTGGATGACAAAAAATGAAACATGAACAGGTTCCGGTCTTTATTCTGAGCAGCCTGACCTTTGGGGGTTATGTGACCGAGGGGGAGAGAGTAATTCATGTCAGAGGCAAGTAAGTGCTAGTCATTGCCAAGACTGCTGATTTCAAAGGACGGTTTTGAAAATGATGTGTGTTACAATGTTCTCAGAACAGTATTTCACAGAGAGAAGTCTAGCTAACTGGTGGGTGAAACTGGAGTTCTCTGTGGTCTAGAGTACAAACAGTGTGTACCAGCCACGTGTAGCGTTGAACCCCACAGGCTGGCGTGGCGGGAAATTCACAAGTCCATTCTCATTGCACGTTCCTGTGTTTTATCATTACTATTGTTATGAAGGTGTGATGATGTGACAGTATTATTATTGTGGAGGCCTGGAGACACTGTGCATGGCATTCGGACTCACGCATTTAAATAATTCTATCGTTTCTCTCACTGCACTGCTATTTCCTTACCATTCACAATCTGTCTGACCTTTCAGTTCTCAGTTGGCTGTAAGTCTTCAGAAGCTCCCGTTAGTCTTCCCTGTGATTGCAGCCTGTGTTATGACAACTTTTGTGGTAATTAAATCTGTGCGAAGACAATGTCACAAACCCCTCTGTCTCCCTCCAGTGTGGTTGTGTGTTCAAGGGGCTTCAGGTTTGGCCCTGCCTCCTTACCTTGAGCGATGTTGTTATTGTTCTCTTAGTAAAGGAGAACTTTAGCCCTGGCTGGTGTAGCTCAGTGGATTGAGTGCGGGCCTGCGAACCAGACAATCGCGGTTCGATTCCCAGTCAGGGCACATACTGGGGTTGCAGGCCAGTTCCCTGCAGGCCAGGTCCCAGCAGGGGATGCATGAAAGGCAACCATACATTGATGTTTCTCTCTCTCTCTCCTTCCCTTCCCCTCTAAAGATAAATAAATAAATAAATAAATAAATCTTTAAAAAAAAAGGAGAACTTTAGGCCAAACTGTCCAGAATCTTCAAAGTAATTTTCACTCCCTCTTTGAACCAAAGCCACAGGATGGTAGGCCACTCTAGGGAGGTGTAAATGGCACAAATTGAGCTGATGGTCACTCCTGGCAGGTGATAAAAATTTGTGTTAACAGGTGGTGGGGCAAAGCAGTTGAGAAATGTCGGTGCAGAAGGTGTGAGCAGCAGGAACAAGGCTGAGAATTTCCTAGGAAGAGATGAGGCCCCTGGGAAAGGCTCCAGGGGGGGACAAGTGCTTTGTGTGCTGGCGCAGGTACCGCCGAGTATCAGGTCTGAAACAAAGTGACGGAGGCTAAGTCTGCTCCAGCTGCTGCCAAGGTTGCCAAGGTGAAGTTGCACAGCTGTTGTTGTTCGAAGAAGGACAGTCATCCTGGGCCATATGCCATTGAGATGTTTTGATTTCCTAAGAGATCTCTGAGCAATCCACTCTCTTTGTTTCACTTAACACTACCTTCCACGCACGCCCGTAGAACCCTTATTCCTCCTTCCTCCTGTTAACTCCCTCCACATGGGACCAGACTTAAAGCCATAAAAATACTGTTCATTTTGCCAATAGTTTTGCTTATATGCCTCTGTCTGAGGACAGGAACTCAATAAGATTTTTTGCAGAAAAAGAAAGATCTGCTTCAAGGCGATTTTGTAGTCCTTGACTGTTCAAAATGCAGCTGACAACTCACTGTAGAAGAGAAATTAAAATAGGTATTTAAACCCTTGACAGGGCACTTCCCTCAGGAGGCAGCCCACTACCTAAAGGCAACAGGTAAGTTCAGTGCAGGCGAGAACGTGAGGAAACTGGTCAGGCACGTACCCTCTTAGAAACAGTGATATCTTCTCCAAAAGAATATGTATCAGATTTACTCGGAAAGGTTTTAATTGATGTATAGCATTCCAAAAAGTGCACAAATGGTGTTTGTCTCGTTCACTGACCGTGTGTTTATCCTGGCGTGTCTGACTCACTCCTGTGTGTCAGGTTTGTGAGATTCCTCTGTGTGAGTTTGTGTCGCTTGCAGTTCACCCGTTTTTGTGGCCAGTGCTGCACTGTGTAGTGACACCCCAGTTTGTGTGTCCAGGCCGTTGCATTGGTGGAAACCTCAGGTTCTTTTTCGGTTTGGGCGGTGGCACATATTGCTGCTGTCAGGGTTCTTTGGTGTGTCTTTGGGTGCACGTGTATTGTGTGTATTTCTATCTGTGTATGCTCAGGAGTGAATGAAAGTGCTGTGTCACGGGGGCGTGAACACATTCAGCTTTCAAATCATTTCAAAAAGTCGGGGGTCTGGGATCCTTTGGGCCAGGCCTAGCTCTGGGATAGTTTGGGGATGTCTCTGCTCCTGAAATATTTTTTAGCACTGTCTTTGCCAGAAGGGTCCTCACCTGTGCCCATCAAACAGCTTCATCTCAGGAGAGAGGTGGCCCGTACCCGCGGCTTTCTCAAGCAGCCACACTCACACTCCCTGGCTTTTGGGAACGTCCATTGAAATGGCCCTAGGACACAGGTCACGAAGCCTGATGTCCTGTGATCTTACGGTTTAGGGTGTGTAACTTAGGGGCTAAATAACTACGAGATTCTAAGCAACCAATAAATTCTGTATAGAGAGATTCAAGGCATGAATTGCTTGTTTTGTTTGCTTTCCTCTTTGGAGGTGGCCAGAAAATATCTTA